ATTGTATAGCTCATACTGACACTAAAAACTCACTTGCTATATACCCAAAATGTAAATTTAACTGGACATTTTTTATTTTACCTGGCAGCCCTACTCCCAAGTCTTTTACCTCCAAGCTAGAATGCAATTACCCTCCGTTCTAGATGCCTGTGCTCAATTATATAATAGGCAGTCCCATTGGATTATGCCCTAAATATCAAACATTAACAAAACCACAATCACCTGTCCTTTCCTCTGAGAAGGTGGTCAGAATATTTGTGACCTGGTGCCTCGAGGCTCACAGAGATCTCCGGAGACGGCCTGGAGTCCTCTCCGGTTCCCAGCGGCCTGACGTGAGCCCCAGTGGCTGGATCACAGGCAGGAGGAGCTTTGGTAGGTTAAGAAGCCTCACGCTTGCCAGTATCAGCCCTTCTCTCAATCTAAAACTGAGCTGTCCTTTCCCAACACTTTGCCACCATCATCTCTACCCTGGAAATCTCACCCCTACCCAGTCTCCACACTACGTTAATCTGCTTCTAAAAGAAAAATCTGGTATCTTCACTCCCCTGCCAAAAACCTTCCAGTGAGTGGCTTCCATCGTCTTGGTTTGCACACCATACGTGATTTATGAAGCTACTCCATTCGAAAATAAATCCCTGAGCCTGGGGTGGTGGCACACACCTGTCATCCCAGCACTCCGGGAGGCTGAGGTAGGAGGATCACAAGTGCAAGCCTAGTCTGGGCAACTTAGAAAGACTCAGTCTTGAAATTTAAAAAAAAAAAATTTTTTTTTTAATGGAATGGGGATACAGCTCAGTACAAAGACCCTGGATTCCATCTCCAGCACACAAAACAAACAAACAAAAAAAATCCCGTCTTTCTTGCCACACTTTGCTGTCCATACCCTTCCTTGATTCACACACCAGCCAAAAGCCAATACCCACAACAGTCACCCCTCACAGCCAATACTCATTCTCACCTCCAGGTGCCTGCACACTATTCCTCTTGCCCAGTCTCCCACCACCCCATACGTCCTAGCTGAGCATCTCCTACTCAACATGGCAATGTCTAGCAGAGGACCCCAGCTCATCCAAGAGCCCATGCCTGAGGCCAGGGTTGAGTTATACAGCTTGTGCCTCTCGAAAGAGGTTGCAAACATCTACCCCGCAGTGTTGGAAGCACCATTTGTAACCCCTCTGGGATACTAGAGATCCACAGAGAAGGGGACCGTGCCCACCAGGTCGGGCATCTGGGCCCTGACGCTCCACCCAGTGATGGGTAATAGTAGGTACTCAGTGGGACAAATAAACTAGTCAATAGTCAAAAGTTAGAACTACATAACTCAATGTTTGTAAGGGTCTCCCAGAGTCTCATTAGTCCTTTCCAACTGAAATCACAGAAATAATTCAATTGTATGAGGAAGTTTTTCTTTAAAATGTCAATTTTTGCCTGCTGAAATACTTCAAAATCTGAAAAAGGATAAAATTCAGATCATCACTTTTTCCTCCCCCTTCACACGCATTTCTATACATATATATATATATATATATATGTATGTATACACATATATATATATATATATATA